AGAAGGCAGAATCATGACAGGATAACAGTTTTGCATATTATAATGAGTTTAACTCACCCGTCGGTGTAAGTGGGGGGAAAACGTCCAATGTTGTCAAATGGCTACCGGATTCGCCCATACATGTTCAACCAAGAGTCCGTGCGTTGCACAATTCCTGTCAGATCCAATATAGATAGCACGTTCTTTACTCTTAATCGGTCTGCAAATCCAGTCTTCTTTACAAAACAATCCTCAGTGAAATGAAGCGAACAGACGACGATGTTTTACCCTCATCAGCTGGAACGTCATTAAAAATAAAGTTTATCCATGAAGTCCTATTGGAATCCAGAGGAAGCTTATGCAGCGACTGTCTTCTTCCACAACCAGACACTGCACAATATTCTGTATTGCTGGTTAGATCGATCCGGTTTGTCATCACGAGGTAGGCATGCATGTTAGGCTACTTAGCTATGCGTGTAATGCGCGAATCGGTGGGCGGGGCTAAACCGGCCGTGTTGTAGACGTTGATCTTCTTCTGCGGGGGTGGTGTTTTAACTTGTTCGACGTCATAGTTTCCCACTTTTAAAAACGAGACGTTTTCAGAGGCTGGTGTCAATAAAAGCTTTTATTGGACTAACAAGGACGTTTTCAGTTCTGAAACTTACAGGATATTCTTATAATATGATGACCTCTTAGATGTCAAAAACTCAAGGAAAATTTGATTTCTCAGTTCATCACCCTTTAATTGCCTTTCTGGACAAGGACAGTATACCGTACATACATTTCCAATAAAGGGACAGAAAACTCTCGGACTAAATCTAAAATATTTTAAACTGTGTTCCGAAGATGAACAAGGTCTGACGGGCTTGGAACGACATGAGGGTCATTAATGACATAATTAAAATTTTTGGGTGAACTAACCCTTTAATGAAAATCATGACCTTGACTGTTTGCGAGAATCTATTAGCGCTGCAGTTCATGGTTCATCGAGTCGCCAACTCATCCAGAAAATGCAAAAGTTGTGAGGAATCAACACTAAGAAAATCGCAGGGTACCATTGACAAAGTTTGTTGTGTGGCACTTTTCAGTCACAATGGTGCTGCTGTATTACTGATGTATTAGTTTTAAAACTCAGGTTAAAGGAACCCAAACTATAATAATATTATTAATAATGATTAGAGTTGAGCCGGATACTCGGCTGAAACGAGTATCCGGTACGGATAAAGCACTTTTGTCGAGTACGAATATTATACGAGTAATACGAGTCAATATCTGTGCTCGGATAAAAAAAAAAAAAAAAGTTATGTTGAGATTAAGGCTGAGCGATATATCAATATAAAAATATATATTTTTTTTTAAATGTGATATGTAATTAAACCATATTGCATACCGATATAGGCTATTCAGGTTTGCGCTGTGATCCTTGCTCCAAGCAAGCTGCTGAGTGCTGATCCAGAGCTCTCTGCACTGCTCCCCGCGCCCCAGCCACTCCTTTTCCACTTTGCGTGCTTGATTAAAGCATGTTATGTTATGAAATAAAGTCTTTCACCTCAGCAAAACGGACTTTCTGTCCTGTCACCCGTTATACTGTAACGTTAGTCGTAGCGCACACTCAATTGCACGCGCAAATGCGGCTGCGCGCGCTGGATCACCTCTGTATAAAGTGCAAAAGAAACTATACGAGCATGCAACACCGTTACGTTGTAAATTACACGAAATAAAAGCAATGCAGTTATGATTTTCATTCTATTCACCAGAGCAGTTTCCATGTTTCATAAACAGTTCTTGTTAGTATTGTGTATTCACCATAGTAACTGTCGTTTCTATATTAACCCCTTAATGCCCCTATTTTTCTTTGTGTTATTTTTTATATTTTTTTAAATGACTGTAATGGCTCATACCAACGTTGTATTAACAAAATAAATAAACCAATTAATAAATCACAATTACAATTCCAAGGGAATAATCTGCAATGAAGATTTTTGTCATAGCTAATCATGCAGCCCTAAGGTGAAGAAACCTGTTTATTATTTATTCATTTTGGTTTGGCAAATGTTCAAGTTTCAATAAAACTATACTTGTGACATGTCATATTTGGCTTTGACTGAACATTTGCTCTCACTTTGCAGAAAAAATATCGGGATATATTTTGTATATCGAAATTCAGCCTAAATATATTGGGATATGACTTTTGGTCCATATCACCCAGCCCTAGTTGAGATGAATACTCTTGTTCATTACATTTTACTTCATAATTGCAGCCACATGGTGTTGTATTCATTGTTGCAAAACTTGTTTTGTAGTTCGTTTGTTATCGTGATCAAAACCATTGATCTGAAGCTCAATGCTATCATGTAAATAGTTTTATTTCTTATCAGCAAAAAATAAAGCAATTTCAGATCAACCCATATCAATTGCATGCTTAAAATAACATACCGGTTAAAGCCCCGCCCATTTCAAGACTACCCGACCCACTTCCGGGTTTAGGCCCCGCCCAGTCCGAGTACAGATACAGATACAGATAATTCATATGGTTAACAGATACAGATACAGATACAGATAATGCTGTACTCGCTCATCCCTAATAATGATGATAATTATTATAATATTTTCTTCGGGACACGGGCATACTTCTATAACTAGCAACACAGTAGCAAACAATAAACAATAAAAATTGCAAAACAAAAATGTATAATTAATCCATAGTCTGAACATTTATGAATAAGCTAAAACATCTTCATTTGAACGTGCGTTGTGTGACTGTTTCCTGTAAGCCTTCATGTTACAGAAACACAGCGTGAAAATAAAGGCAAGATTATGAAAAAAAAAAATAGAAAGGTAAATCTGACCTGCTATGGTGATTTGGGGTATAAATGCCAAGTTTTTAATCTGGTTTATCTAAACAATTTTTTTAACAACAGGGGATTGTAAATAACTAAATTTTAGTATTCTTTTTTTTTTTTTTGTTAAAAGAACAGCAGCTGTGGTTGCAGTTTCTGTGAAAACAGGCTTACAAATGCTTCTCATTACAAATCTAGTGAAATTCTAACCGGTTGTCCACAAAAATGTTGGAAATTATGCAGCTATGTGAAATGAAGTGAAAATAAAGCATAGCTGGTGTCTGTTGTGTTCCCAAAATGCATGTTAAACTTACAGCACATGCAGAGATGGAGTTTACTCTGTTAACTGTAAACCGAGTCAACTCTGAAATCACTGGAGCACAACCTGATCGCATAAGAATATTATGCTAATATGCTATATGTAGAACTTGTATATGTCGAAGTAAATGTATTTGTATAATATTAAAAACTGTAAAGTGACTTGTAATGGAGTAATCATATGTAGGCTATTATAATTACTCAGATAGTAGAAGCTCAGATGAGTAAATGTGTGCCTCTTAACAGTAACCATTTAGTCTTTTATAATTTATTTTCAGTTGCAGTGAATTTAGCTTCTTAGGTTTTTAGGTTGTAATGTTGTTACCATGTTAGAATTAATTTTTTTTTTAGAATATATGTGTATATATAGCATAGCCTACATGGTTAAATTAACTATTTTTTCATAGCCTTCAACGTGAACATAGAGCACAAAATTGGGCAGGATGTAAAATAACTTTTTATTTTATTTACAAATTTATTTAAAAAGTAGAAAATACCCATATATATATATATATATATATATGTTTTGCCCATGTTGCCTAGCCCTTTATGAACATAATTTCTAAGAATTAGTTATTTGTTTTAATGAGTAATTTATGGATTTGTATTCACAAGCATAATACTGTAAAAATATGACAAATTGTACTGTACATACATTTTCAAGCAAATTAATACTATTAGTTCTCCTTTTTCAGATTAACAGCCTGTAATCTCACTGATCAGTGCTGTGAAATTGTGGCTTCAGCTCTACAATCCCCAAACTCCCCCCTGAGAGAGCTGGACCTGAGTAACAATGACCTGCAGGATTCAGGAGTGAAGTTGCTCTGTATGGGACTGAAGAGTCCAAACTGTCAACTCAACATACTGAGGTTTGACCTATACATGTATTCATTCAATATGTTAATATTCAAGTACAGTTCCCTGTCTAGAATTTTTAATTAGAAAGATTAAGTATTCCACATGACAAAACAAGTGTCCCACTTTAACACTATTGCCTGAAAGTAATTGGGGTTTCTTCAGAAGATGTATGTTACACAGTGGTTGCAGCAGAGATAAAACATCATCTAAGTGCAGCAGCTTTATTCAAAAACAAACTCAAACTCACTAAATAATCTCAAGAACAAGAACAGGAAAAATAACTCATGGCAATGTAGAACTGACAAAGAACAGAAATACACACAAGGCTTAAATAGACAGAAAACAGTGAAACTAACGAGACAAAGCTGAACTGAAACTCAAATCAAATCAGAAACCATAGAAACAAAAAGGCAGGGGGCGGAGAAAGACAGATGGGGAAATAATTAACAGTTTAACCAAACCCAGACATCAACGGAACAAACTGAACAAACAGAAATCAAAACAAACTGACAATGTGACAACGTCTTTTATTGTTCTTCTTATCAGTATTATTAATTTTTTTCTTTTTAATGATATATAATATATATATATATATATATATATATATATATATATATATATATATATTTTTTTTTTTTTATATATATTTTTTTTTTTGGTAACTAAGGTGTAAAAAGGGCCACGAAATCGGTCCAAATGGCGGAGTTCGATTCGTGGTGAAGGTTTCAAGCGCGTTCCGTCTTTTCCAAGCAAAGTGAATTTTAATTAAATGCAATACATTTAATCTTATGTATTAACTCGTTTCATCTGACTCCATAAAATGAAAAGGGTTTATCAATGATATCTGTGCATCATTTAGTAGTTAATGCTTGACTATTCCTTTTAACTCTAATGAAAATAAAGTCAAAGTCTGTTAGAATAGCCGTATACAATTTATTATGTCAGGTAAATGTATTATTACATTCCACAAGATAATCAGAGCAAACCATTAGATTTTCAAATAACTTTACCCAACATACTACATGAATGCCGAGCCTCGAAGACACAGCATCATGGGCTGATCTGATACAGAATAGCAGCCATGAACTCTTGTGCATTTTCCTTAAATAGAGCCAAACCTTACCTGATCTAATCACCAAATTTACCTGATCCAATCACCAAACTACAATGGACTGAAACCCCCACCATGTTTACTGGGGGAAGGAGAGTTTGCATTCAGGCAAAAGGTAGAATGTGATTAACTCAAAGACACACCCTTTTGTGTGCAAGATATTTCTATATTCTTAAAAACCTTATTACCTTTTCTTTAACTTCTTTGGAAATGAGACATTATTACCAGTCACCCTGAGACTTTTGAAATGATTCTAAACAGTCCTTTAAGATTATCACATTCACATTAAAAACACATATTCTTGTGTGAGCTTCCTCTGCAAGAGTGTGTGTGTGTGTGTGTGTGTTGTTCAAGCAAGGTCCTCTTGTCTCCAGAAGACACTGGTCACTGATTATATCAACCAGTTCCAGTTTTCTAGTCTTACAGATTCCCTCCTTGACCCCAATGGGTCAGTTTCAGACACTTAGGGGTCACAGACACAGTAAGACGTTTGTTGTAATCCTAGGTGTAATTCAACAATTGTATCTTTGCAATGTTGGCATCTGTTGACGCTCAGAGGGCTTTGTTCACCAGCAGAACACCTGTTCTCATCAGGCATAAGTAGCATGAGTCCAGCAGGTGGATGAGGCGTTCAGGCTTTCTTCTGGTGATGTGAGCAAAGTTCATAGAGTCAATCTGGACTTTCAGTTGGCGTGTCGTTCCTTCATGAAGACACTCACGTTTTCCTGGCACCTTCCCCATAACGATAATCTGTCCCTTCTCGACCAATCCTGTCACCTCCAGCGGTGCGGTTGTCTGGACAGACCTCAGTGGGTGAACGGGCTCTCTGTGAGACGTCTGAAAAGCATCTTAAATGTCTGCTTCACGATTGAAACACATATGAACTTGAACTCATGAAGAAATGCATGGAAACGCAATAATACACAAAACAAAATCATGTCATGTTCAATGTAAAATACCATGTTCCTTTCAGCAAGTGTGCTCATATTTTTCTCAGAGTATTGAATGGTAAGGATGTCTCATATTAAATATCCAATTCTTAAATATATTTTTTTGGTCTGAATTCTAAAAAGGAAATGCAGCAAGAGGTCAGTGTACTCAAAACAATCAAATAGATTCTCTCTGACAAGAAGTCATGTAATAAAAACAATCGATGTTCAATAAATGAATATGTATATAACAATCAGTGTTTGTTCAGGAATCTTCCAATGCAAGCCACTTTTGCAAATCTAGGAAGTGACTTGGAACATTCTTAAATGTATTCAAGAATGGAGATTGTTCATTCCTTACAACAGGTGTGAGAGTGTGTGTTTGTGTGAGGGCGCGAGTGCGTCTCTGTGTGAAAGTGTGTGTTTTTTCGTCTGAGTGTGAGTTTGAGCATTTTTGTGAGAGAAAGAGAGAAGAGTGTGTGTGTGTGTGTGTGTGTGTGTGTGTGTGTGTGTGTGTGTGTGTGTGTTTTCCAATGTTTTTCCATGAGTTGGCAGAGTGTGGTGAATAGCGTGTGCTATGTCATGGGATCAGCTTCCCATCCTTATGTGTGTGAAGCTATCCGGATCTGTAAATGTGAAGATGCACAATAGATCTTTAGTGAAGTGACACTATTGGACTCTATGTCATCTTCATCTTCTTATGATGTGTAGTGTTCAGTCGGGATAAATTTGATCTATTCCGTGTGATGATGCTGTGAGTGTGTTGTGATGGAGGAGTGTGTTCAGTCAGTGTTCATGTCTAGGAGATGGGTGGAATTCTACTGTATAACAATTGTGTTGCAAAATTTAGTTCCAGTTCTAAACTGGGAGGCCATCTAATGTAGTGATGTGTTGTTGTGAGATGTAAAGGCCACTTGAATTGTCTTTTCACCCATCTCCCGAATCTCAGGTTATGTTCAAACAATCATGGAGATCGGCCGTCCCGGCGTCCGTCCTCCGAGGAATTGCAGAAGTAAACCTTAGAGGAGGATCCCTCCTTGTAAATTCGCTTTCTTGGAAGGTTGGCAATTACCTGTGCCACACCACACTTCAGTGAGTGTTTTCCGCCCTTTTGGCACTGGGTATTGGTCAACGAAATCGAATTGTAAGGATTAATTTCACACTTGTCCAATTAATGCCTGCTTGGCGATTACAATATAATGTATATTCGAATTTAAGAATATAAATGAAATTATTATTTCTAGTCTCTGGGAAAAAAATGTTACAGATTTGTTAAATTTAGATGTAAACTATTAAGCTATTTGTTATTGAGCTGCTACCCGACTAGCAAATGTCGCTAATAGCTGAAGGCCTTGACTGACCAAAGTTGTTAGCTCTGTGAGGGCTTTAGATGCATTTGAGCTTTGGTTCCCGGCAGGGCGCTGGCTTGTGTCATCAGATTGTGGTTGTCTGCGTTTTTTGAAATAGGGTGGAGGTCTGCCTCTGCCCAACGACCAGCACTTTTCCTCTGTATGACCTGTTTTGTGACAGGAATTACAGAATCTGCTCAGTTTGCCACCGTGTGGCTTTCTGAATTCTCCTGCAAATGGAGGATTTTCATGACATTCTAACACAGCAACCTCACCATGTATTTGTTTTCGTGACTCAATTCTTGTTGCCCAGCTAACAATTCCTTCGAATGTATTTGTTGCTGGAGAAGCACCATACATGAGCGATTGCTGTACTCGCGGCCCTGCATTTGTAAGTAGTAATCCAAGGAGAGTTACATTGTTGTGGTTAACACCCTCAATTCCAGAATACTCCTCAAACAGTTCAAACATTTTCTCTGCATATGTCTCAAACGATTCTTCAGTACTCTGTTTCCGATTAAGAATCAGTTCCCATCCAACAGGACTACAACCACGTAGATCGCGCAGACATTGTTTTAATCTATTTAAGATTTCACTCTCAGGCTCGTTTTGATGCATTGACTGCACAATGGTGCCTGTCATCAAAGCCGGTGGTATCTTATAGTTCAGGACATCTGGAATTGAGCTGATAACAATTTGCCAAATATCTTTTGGTTCAAGCTGAAATGCATGTTTTAGGCTAACAATGCGTCTCCACCATGGTTCGAATGGCCCTTTCAAAGGGAATGGTCCGATCTCTGCTTTAAACGAACTACATTCAGTTACCGTTAGAGGACGCCGAATGGTTGACTCTGTGCCGTTTGGGTGCCGTATCACCTTAAAGGCTGAAACAGACACTTCGTTCAAAACTTTATCGCATGCTTCATCCGTCTGAAAAGGTACAGGGTTATTAGAGCAGGCTGACTCGTTTAAGAAGCGCACATTTTTAGTCCCATCGCCGTTGAGCGTTTTGGGAGAAATGGACTTTTCAACAATTAGTTTAGCCTTAAGATCTGCAATAGTGTGTTTGTGATTTTTACACTTTTCAGTCAGGGCTAACTGCTCAGTTAGTAGTTGATCTAACTGTGTTTGAAGATCTTGGATCTTTGCCTCAGACATTTTTGCCTCTGCATTTTTAGAATGCACTTCTTCACATTTAATATCCATAAGCGAGGATAGAAATGTTGTTGACTTATCTAGCCGTTTATAACTTATGAAGTTTAAGGCCTCAATTATTTTATCATGTTTTGATTTCTTCTGCTTTCTACCCACTGTTTCCCACCAAGTGAGAATTTCACTGTCAATAGCGTCCATGTTAAGACCTTTTTTACTTAGCTTATGCAGTGTAGGCTCGACCTTTTCGGCCCATAGTGTAAACAGGACAGGATCTTTAAACATTTTCCAATTTATATTTGGGGAAATTTCTTTCCCTGAAGCTTTGAATATAAAAAGGTTTTTGTTTTAGGATTAATGATTTGCCCGTTCACAATTTCTGCTCAAAATTTTCAAGAATTAATGAGCATTGTGAATCATATTATAACCACATTCAGCATAGACGCACACACGTGTTTAATTCAGTTCACAGGATACATATGGCCTTGAATACAACATCAACAGCCTTTACCTAAGTGTTCCAAAACACTTACAGTAAAGCAATCCTGTGTTTAAAGAATAAACTTACATTTAGCCTATGTGCACATATAGTAGCACAAACAACTATACAGTGTGTTCTATGAGTGCGTTACATTGTGTGAAGCACAACTCCAAATTTGAAAATACAAACTATTGCATTATTGCTTTTTAATCCCATCTGTGTTACAGTGGAAGCTTTCAAATGCAAAATAAAGTTTGCCAAGATTAGTTTATGTTAATTATAGAATATTATTCAATGTGGCCTCCGGCCCATGGAGGGCTAGTCAAACAAAGGGTTAAGCGTTTTTGAATGCAGCATGTCCTTAGCATTAGCCTCATTTCAGAAGCCGCATGGCTTTAGCATTAGCATTAGCATCATTGTTCAAGCAGCATGGTTTTAGGATTTATCATTAGCCTCGTTTTGGAAGCAGCATGGGCAATACTAGCATTTCACCCTGCTAATTGCGTCTTAGCCTGTAAATCATATCATTGTATTTTTTCAAAGTTTTCCTTTCATAAACAATGCATCGATCTGCTTCATTTATAAAATCACGTGTTTTCCGATCATTTACAAACTTAGATTTTTATTTCTGTTGTTTGTCGATTCTCTTCACGTTGCTGGTTTGTTTCAACAAAGCCACTACAATAATGAAGACAAACATGCAAGTTTTGTTTTATAGCTCTTCGAGTAACATTAAGTCTACCCGAAAATCATTTGAAAGATGTTATTTCAAATTTAGGTTTCTTTTCTTTTTGCCTAATCAAACAAGGATATCTTTAAAATCTATTAAACAAGGGTTTTACACTTTTATCTGCGCGCCGCGGCCACTATCATGTCCTCACGTTTTAGTTTCTGACTAAACAAAAGGGCTTTCAAACCTGTAACAATGCAAACAACATTTTCTCAACACTTTTCAAAAGGGAAGGAAATTGTGACTTACCACAGCGGCAGAAGAAAGGAAGATGTTCAAACCTCTTGTTGATTTTAAGATTCCTGTACTTTGTTGGAAGGGACGTTGTTCGCGAAATCCATCTGTTGCGATCACGGAGGCGTGTCACCACTGTAAAAAGGGCCACGAAATCGGTCCAAATGGCGGAGTTCGATTCGTGGTGAAGGTTTCAAGCGCGTTCCGTCTTTTCCAAGCAAAGTGAATTTTAATTAAATGCAATACATTTAATCTTATGTATTAACTCGTTTCATCTGACTCCATAAAATGAAAAGGGTTTATCAATGATATCTGTGCATCATTTAATACATTAATGCTTGGCTATTCCTTTTAACTCTAATGAAAATAAAGTCAAAATCTGTTAGAATAGTCGTAACAATTTATTATGTCAGGTAAATGTATTATTACAGTTCCATAAGATAATCAGAGCAAACCATTAGATGTTTCAAATAACTTTACCCAACATATTACATGAATGCCGAGCCTCGAAGACCCAGCATCATGGGCTGATCTGATACAGAATAGCAGCCATGAACTCTTGTGCATTTTCCTTAAATAGAGCCAAACCTTACCTGATCTAATCACCAAATTTACCTGATCCAATCACCAAACTACAATGGACTGAAACCCCCACCATGTTTACTGGGGGAAGGAGAGTTTGCATTCAGGCAAAAGGTAGAATGTGATTAACTCAAAGACACACCCTTTTGTGTGCAAGATATTTCTATATTCTTAAAAACCTTATTACCTTTTCTTTAACTTCTTTGGAAATGAGACATTATTACCAGTCACCCTGAGACTTTTGAAATGATTCTAAACAGTCCTTTAAGATTATCACATTCACATTAAAAACACATATTCTTGTGTGAGCTTCCTCTGCAAGAGTGTGTGTGTGTGTGTGTGTGTTGTTCAAGCAAGGTCCTCTTGTCTCCAGAAGACACTGGTCACTGATTATATCAACCAGTTCCAGTTTTCTAGTCTTACAAAGGCAAGAGATATATTAATATTATCGATAAATGGCACGTTCGGGCCAGACTGGGGGGAAAGGTACACTGTAAAAATGAATATGCTTTATCTAATCAAAAAAATTGCAACAGATTACAAGCAATATTATTAATTAAATTTAACAAATTAGTATTGAGTAATAATTAATCAAATTAATTCCTTAAGTTAACCATTTAAAATGAGTAAAACTTACAACAACAACCAAAAAAACAACAACATAAATTTAAGTCACCATTATGGTGATCTGTTTGTTTTAGGTTTGCTTTAAATTACGGTTTTCTCCTTCAGTTATTCTGCTTGTAAACATCAGGTGTCTTCAATGTTGGCAATATAAAATAAAGAGTTCTGAATGAATCTTTGGTGTCTGTCTGTTAGTGAAATATTTTTGTTAAATTTTTTGGTGTAAACTTTACTCATTTTAAATGGTTGACTTTTAAGGAATAATTTGATTAATTATTACTCAATTCTAATTTGTTAAATTTAATTAATAATATTGTTTGTAATCTGTTGCCACAATTCTATTGTTTAGATAAAGCATATTAATTTTTTACAGTGTACTGTAATAATGTAAAATATGGGGGAAAAATGCTTTTTTAAAAACAATTAATTATGAAAGCATATTCTAGTACACCCCAAAAACAAAATCAAGACTTTGTAAAAGGAATAATAGGACCCTTTAAAAGTAAAAATAGCTACCAGTATATTGTTTTTTATATTGTTATTATGAATTAAAATTACACATATCGTGATATTAGATTTTGGTCATATCCCCCTCCCCTATCTACCCACATTGGTTAAAAACATTTTAGAACACACATTTATTGATATTTTTTCTAAAAACTTTTTGCAGTGTTGTATTTATAGTCCTGTATAAGGGGTGCTGCAGGACCCTCAGTATTCCCATATCCTGCATCCCTGCCGCTGTATCACAAATTCTAGAAAAAATATCTGAAACATTTGTTAAAATGAAGCACACTAACATGAACATTTACTGTTGTTGTAGATTATCTGGCTGTATGGTGACAGAGGAAGGTTGTGCTGATCTAACATCAGCTCTGAGTTCAAACCCTTCACACCTGAGAGAGCTGGACCTGAGCTACAATCACCCAGGAGATTCAGGAGTGAAGCTGCTCTCTGATACACTCAAACATCTGGACAAACTCAAGTATGTTGACCATGAAAATGAATTCATCATTTACTCAACCTGGTGCTGTTCTAACGATGTTAGCCCTTCTTTCTTTTTCGGACCACAAAAAGAGAATTAAAAAATAAAATTACTGCTCGTGCTCATTCACACATTGGAAGAGAACAGCAGTCAGCATCAAGCTTTTAAAAAAGAAGCAAAAGTATCAGGGTGGTCCAATGCTACACATGTCGTATATTTCAAGTGTTCTGGGGTATACGATAGTAGGGATGCTCCGATACCATCTTTTTCAGAACCGATCCGATACCAAAAAATCTGAGTATCGACCGATACCGATACTGATTCGATATCAGTGGAGTGTTGTTTTTTTATCAAGTAGAATTTCTCTGTGTGTTGAACTGATAATCACTCTTATGTGTTAAACGCAATCTACCTAATTCAGACAAATTCATTATAAAGATAAACAACCAATAAAAAAAATATGATCATAATCCATGACAAAAAATGCTATTATAAACTAGATTAGTGGATAATACACATTTGCTCTTTATATTGTTGTAAAATACATTGTTGAAAAACAAGATAACAAAAATCAAAAAGATAAATTATTTTAGATATAGTCATATAACAAAGCGCTTATGCGCATCCCGAGTGGAGAATGATGCGTGTTGATGAAAATTTTACGTCATCTTGAATTTAATGACTTAAATATTAATTTCTATATCACATAATGGCTTCAGAACACTTATTATAGAGTACACGAAATCTTTATGGTACTTTAGAATATTTTTGTGCCTTTTGTGGGGCTTAACAGCAACACAGAATAGTATATGCACTATATCGGATTTGGATCGGCCTCATATGATCGATACCCGATCCGACAAAAATGGCAGTATTGGAGCCGATACCGATCCTGAGTATCGGATCGGCGCATCCCTATACGATAGGGTTTGGTAGGTATCTATCAGTTGTCTATATATATTTTTATTTTACATATTATGTTTTTGTATGTCATACAAGTTTTTCATTAACCGTTAACCGAGGCCCTTAGCGGTTAATACTCGGTTAAGCCGCAACCTTGAGATACAGACACACGGGAGTTCATTTTTAACACCTTTAATAACTGGTTGGACCGCATTTGAAACTAAATTATTATATAGAAATAAAACGCAGTGGTAAGGACAAAGCAGGTAAAGTAGGCGCGTTTCCATTACCCTTTAAATTGAAATTGCCAATTGAAAATCCGCACAATGGAAACATGTCAATTTCGCAAAATCTCGAGAAAGGAATATTTCACAAAACTGCAATGCGACATTTTGTGTGTTTTCGGTCCGTGTCCGCAAATAATAATAATAATCATCATCATTATTGTAACATTTTATTAGCCTGCATATGTATATTTATTCCAAAAAAGGAACAAAGCACAAATAAACACAATATTTTGACGCATATCCAAGTGTTTGTACGGAGTGTGGAGCTCGCACTGGATGGCAGCGAGACGCCCATGCGAACACTTTCAGTTTCCGATCAACAATGGAAACAACTTAAAATACTCTTTCATTTCTGGTCATACAGAAAATAATAATACATTATTCGCAAATACATTTATTTGCGTAAACTCACAATAACAAGAAAACGTTGTGCTTTTGTAAAATAAATTAAACAATCAGGCACGCTTCATGATCTCTGTGGACTGGAGCGCAAGAACTGAAACAATATAACCTTTGTAGACTAAAGCTTTAAATGGCCAATTTAAAACAAACAAATTTTAATCGAAAGCTAATATCTTCTGACTATGTAATTATGTAATTATGTAATTATGCATTTCTCTCTAAAGGTGCATCCAGAGAAGGAGATATGTTTTTAGCTGAATCTGATTTAGAAACCAATAGTTTCTTAATAAACAATTAAAATGCCTTGTTATTTTTTCAGACACATTTATTATAGCCTAAAACTCACCTTTCTGTAGGCTGTGGTTACAGCTCTTCTCATTCAGCACTGCGGGGAAAATATAATTTTCAGGTTCTAATTTGGCCTTAGAAAACCAAATCTAAATATTTACCATATTAATTTGTGAAATATTTTAAATATTTAATAAAGGGGCAAAAAATCACATAAATATCTGAAAATCTGTCTATATATATATATATATATATATGCAGCATTTGGCGTACAGTTCAAATTAAAATTTTGGTGTTCAACTTTGCGTTTTAAAAATACAACAACTGTTTTTCATTTTGCAATTAGGCCTACGTATTAAATAAAGGGAAATGAATGAACACAAAAGTACACTGACCGTTTACGAGGCAGAGTTCTTTTTTAAATTCATAAAAGAAACTAGGAATAGCCTACTGGACAAAACCTCAAAGAAATGCCACAATCAAGACCTCGGAGCAGAAATGAGGGAGAAACACCCAGGATCTCTCTTTCCCTGCCATTAATGTTTGGATAACACACCATGTCTCCTTCCATTAATAATAATAATAATAATGTCCAGTGCGGTGGCTTTGATATAGCCTACCAATGTTCGTTGCCATTATTTTTGGAATGATTAATTAGATGTTTTAGTCGCATAACATCATTAATGGAAACGCCGTCATTTCGCAATATATTTTTATCGACATTTCGAAAAAAAATAGCAAAAGTTTTGTGCATATATTTTGGGCTGAGCGATATATCGCACGATATTGTTATGCGCATCTAATCAGTAAAGCCGGTTCCTTGATTAGTAGTAAATCACCTTCACCTGCTTTAAGATGGAAGATATGATGCAAATATGAGTGTTAAATTAACATTCAAGAGTGTTAAAGTTAAGGAGATAATTAAGTGATTAATTGAGTGATGATTGAGCATTATTGAAGACACCTGATGTTAACAAGCAGAATCACCGAAGGAGAAAATCACAAATTGTAAGTCAACGTTATGGCGATCAGTGTTTGCTTTAGTTGGGCTCTTGACCCTTATACTTTCACGTTAAACTTTGTTTGTCTGCTGTTATTGATTTATAACAGTCAAATGACCAAAGAAACTGTGATCTGATATTGTTGGTTATGTTTTAAAAATCATGCTATGATCTGAAAAATGAAACTTTTCAGATGAATGGGTTTAACTTGTTAGTAACAGTTTAGTGATTGTGCAGCATATCTGTATTTTTCTTATAACCTAAAATATTTAATAAAAACTATTCTGATCAAATCACTTTCATCTTTATTCAGAAACACAGACATCAATAATCAGCCTGTGTATCTCAACCGTGGTGACATTAATAATCCTTGTTGCCACCAATCACTACTCATTAATGTCTCCCATCATGCATTGCGGTATGAATAAATTATGATCTGAATTGTCTATGTAATTTGCTTTTCCTAATTGAATATTCTGCTCTATTCTGCTCGCCACCATCGTTGAGATATTTTTTTTAAACAACTTGTAGAAATCCATTATATTATATCTAACATTCTGGATATTTATGCAGAATCTCAGTTATGCTGCGACCTACTAAATTAACCACAAACATATTTCAAATGATGAATGTCATAATATGACCAACACCATCATATAAACCGTCTCTTTGTTCATCTGGCAGGTATAACTCAGATGCAACAGCCAATTAAAATATGAAGTTAATAATGAAAGGATCAAGAGCCCAACTAAAGCAAACACTCACCTCCATAACGGTGACCTGAAAGTTAGGTTTTCTCCTTGTAATTCTGCTTTAGGTGTCTTCAATAATGCTCAATCATCACTCATTTAATCACTTAATTATCTCATTAACTTTAGTACTCTTGAGTGTGGACTCATATACACTCCCAGGAGTGTTAATTTAACACGGGAGATGTTGTCGTGACGAAGAGCCGTAGTTCACTAACAAGCTGAGCCACATCGCATTAATTATCGCTGGCGATACGTCCTCGATATTAACGTGATTTGGCTCAGCTTGTCAGTGAACTACGGCTCTTTGTAGTAAATGCCGCTCCATCTGAAAGCAGGTGAAGGTGATTTACTACTAATCAACAGTGGTGGAATGTAACGAAGTACAAATACTTTGTTACTTTACTTAAGTACATTTTTCACGTATCTTTACTTTACTTAAGTAGAATAAATAGTGCATACTTTTTACTTTTACTTCGTTTTCCAGCAATTATTATACTTTCTACTCCACTACATTTCTACAACTTCTGTTACATTTTCCTTACATTTTCTGATCAGTTTTTCCCCTGCCAAAACGTAATCTGACCGTCCGTCAGTTGCACGTTTGTCTCACCAGTGACGTTTGGACGGTTTGGTTGCCATATAGATATATCAACCCGGTCAAACTAAATGTGTCTCGCACGCAGTGTGTTTATCGTGCAATTTATAAGCAAAAATTTGTTTTTACGTGCATAGGAAACACACTTTGTGTAATATACGTTTGGTTAGGATTATGGCAAGCCAAGAGGTTCAGAATTACACCACAAATTAATTGCGTTTACTGCCAAACATAGTTATTAATATATAGTAAGGATAACCATGATGTGTATATTGCCTAATTGCAAGCTTGTTTCAGAAATGGTGACAACTATTTTTTTCCATTATTATTGAACATCATTATAGGAGTATTAGGTGGAATGAGTTAGAATTAAATGTTTTCTTAATCATTAGAAAATAGACATTAAGAGAATAATTGTTATGCAAGTACTTTTACTTTTAATACTTAAAGTACATTTAAAATCAGGTACTTTTTACTTAAGTATGATTGTCATTGTGTTACTTCTACTTTTACTAAAGTAAACATTTATGTGCTTATTTGTACTTTTACTTAAGTACTGAGATTCAGTACTTCCTCCACCCCTGCTAATCGAGGAACCGGCTTTACTGATTAGATGTGCATAACAATATCATGCGATATATCGCCCAGCCCTACATATATGTATTGACGCCACATAACCGAGCAAAAAGTTTTCACTCATGCAATTTTTAACGGTTAATCGGTTAACCATGGACTAATTATGGCCAAGCTTGCACGCTTAAAATAGCATTATGAACAACGCGCCACTGACTTTAGACCAGGTTTTTTCTGGTCAGTGGCGCAATTGTTTTCTGGAAGTGTAAAATATCACCAGGGAATGTTTGCGCTGAAACACGCCTCCTTTTTGCACCAATCCGCCCAGGGAGCGCAAGTTCATTTCCTAGTTTACCGACATGCGTCTGTGGAGCGGGTACAAAATAGGAATGATAAATGCGTCAGTGGACAAAGTCATTTGCACCGGGTGCAAGATTGAGCCCTCAATATTGGACGGCTTTTTTAAATTCGATGGCCTGGGAGCTCTTTAACTCTCCTGGGAGTTTATTTGACTCCACAATCAAAGAGTTAAAGTGTTCAGATATGAGTGACTCATTGCTGGTCAGCTGAGCCTTGAAAAGTGGAGCTTAACGTTAAAATAATTGGCACTTTGTTTCATTACATCTATCTTTTAATGAATCAGTGAATGTTTTAATGACTCTCTCAAAAATGAAATATCAGAAGAAAGCCTCTTGTCCAATTAGATACGAGAATCGGAACTGTTTTATATATAAAAATAGCCGAACGAGCTTATGTTCAGGTTTATGTTCTGTTATGCAGACATTTTTACTTTCTTTTCTGTTTACTTCACTTCCTCTTTCAACTCTGTTTAGTTTCGGTTATATTGGTTACTGAATATGGCGTTATTTCTTTAGTGAATGCTGACCACATCATAACACTATTATTTATATAGCAGCAAATAAATCAATAAATGGCGATAAAACAGCAAATCGAGCTATTGATTACAGCCACTAAAGATTACAGCAAGGGAAACTCCTTCACCATGACAGCCCTATTTCAAAAATATGATTTAAAGGATTAGTTCACAGTTCATACAAACGAGCTTGGATTTAATTAAAGGGTTAATTCACCCAAAAATGTAAAAACAAACACAAAAAAAATTCTGTCATTGATAACTTGCCCTCGTGTTGTTACAAACCGGTAAGTCTTTGGTTCATCTTCTGAACACAATTGAAGATCTTTTTAATGAAATCTGAGCTTTCTGTCCCTCCATAGACAGTCTGCGCATCTGACACTTTAAAGCAGGGGTGTCAAACTCAAATACACAGTGGGCCGAGATCAAAAAATTGCTATAGGTCAAGGGCCGGACAGGTTAAACACTTATTGAAACAACGTATTATTATTATGAACCTGAAAACAACAAGGTCTATATATTATTGCCAATAAAACAACATTAATTAGGAAATAAAATAAAATAAAATTAATAAATAAAATCAGTTTCACTAATTTCTTATGGTTATTTACAAAAGTTATTTACTTCAAAGGAAAATCAAATGTCCTATAGCAAGAGAAAGAAATGCAAAAATGAAAGTCCACCTTTTCAAAGTTCACCTTCCTTCAAATTTGGCTGATTATTTATGCTGAAAAATGGCCGAGTTTTGGTCTGTACTAATCTGTCACTGTCACATCGGGGAAAATACCTTTTGAGTTACAGACTACCAAACGTTAAAGAGAAGAGTGCAAAAACTGATGAAAGAAGGCGTTTGTGGTTGACAGAGGCACAGCATCAGCAATACGGCACTGACATTGACACTGATGGAGGGGTTTGCATTTGCAATAGTGATGTTTTCTTATTTAATTTTTACAACATGGATGTGTGTAGCCACCGCCGCGCTGGACTATATTAGGGACTTTAAGCAACAGCCTCTGGTGGAATTGCGTATTGAGCTGCAGAACGGTAGGAATCTGTTATGCAACGTTACGGCTTTTTCCGCGTTCTTGTCAGCGCCGGTTTCAATACATGTTTCAGAAATAATATTTTTCTGCTCGTCCGGCACTTTGCAACAACACAGCATTGTTTCGGCAGCGACTTGCAGCATGTCTCCTCTAAAACTGATGTTTAACGTTACATTTTATGTGGCGTGAAAGTCGCATTCCATCCGAAATCCGATCGTTCAGACTGAGGCATATGGTATTTGAATAGGATTTCAAACCACATATGGATGTAGCTGCTAGCTTGAAACGGATTTCATGTGCTTTTTGGACTGACAATCTGAGCGTAGCCTATGTCGGAACAAGAAAATAGAAGGAAGAATTGCAGTACGGGCTATAGAAGCTCACCATTACCACATATTAACTTTAGTTTGTCAAAATATTACGCTCTCTCCTGCTTGGTAAGTCCATCTCTATATGATTTCGTACCTACCAAGGGTTTTTTTCTGTGTTTTTTAGTGTAACAATGTGTTCCGTAGTACATACATAGTGCAGTAAATGCCGTTGTTTACATCCGAGTGCCCCCATAATGGCCACTCATCCGGGTTACCGCCCAGAATGTCACGCTTTCGCGGTCATGTTTCCATGGTGACGCGTCATTGCTTGTCACGTGACACAGTGACGGCGGGCCAGCTCTAAAAATAAATACATTTTGTCATGCGGGCCAAAAATAATTCATTTGCGGGCCGGTTGTGGCCCGCGGGCCTTGAGTTTGACACATGTGCTTTAAAGCTTCAAAAAGTTCATAAAGAGATCGTAAAACTCATCCATATGAAGTGAGCGGTTTAGTCCAAAACAGGTTTGGTTACGTGAAGGCCAAATGTATAAAAATATTAGTTATAAAATATAATGTAATATAAATAAATCTTAAATCTAGTGTTTGTTTCTGTTTGAGAGTGAGGCTTCAGGCCGTAAAATCAATGGTCTATGTAATGTCCTCACTAATATAATGAAACATACTGTGTGTGTGTGTGTGTGTGTGTGTGTGTGTGTGTGTGTGTGTGTGTGTGTGTGTGTGTGTGTGTGTGTGTGTGTGTGTGTGTTTGTTTTCTAGTGTGGATCACGGAGGAGAGATCAGGATGTCAGCAGGACCACACAAATGTAAGTCCACAAACACAGTTTTAGTTGTTGGTGTTTTGTTGTTATATTGGCTTGAGAAAGCAAAATGCTATTAAACTTATTATTATTATTATTAATATTATTATTATTAGTGTACACACACACACACACACACAGGGCCTTAAAGTCCCAATATACTCCCTGCAAAGTTCTTTTTCGTTCTTCATTAAGCCGTGACACAGTTAACGACTGTGAGGCCGATTATGAATGTAATTTGATCCTTACGACTGATCATTCGAACACGCCGAGTTAGAGACAGTTGCGTTCAGTCGTTGTTCACAGTCTGTGTTTAAAATCGCTGGAAACTCTGTAAGTGTGTTCAGTTCAGTTTCAGCCAGTCGTGAAGTGTGTCCTCTCTCCTGTTCTGTCTCTGAAATGTCTTCAGCAAAGAGACACAACATTTTACATATTTTCTTTAGAGGAGCTTTTGTTTTTAGCTAAAGCTAATTCACAACACGGCGTTTTTTAGGCATTTGAAGACCAGTTTAACAAAGTGCAGGGAGATAAAATTAGCAAAACTTAAAACCTTATATTTGCTTGGAATTGGCGTATCCCAGTCCTAACTCGTGTGCTAACAGAACCATTCTTACATCATATCAAAAGCTGCATCACTCCTTGCTGACTCTTGTAGACGTGAGGATGAGAACACTTTTTCTGTGTCTATTCTCCAGTGATTTACATTCACATTATTACCTTTGATTTCAGGGATCTATGATTATTTGTAGAGCGTCTGACCGCGGTAAAAAAGAAATACGTGAGCAGCGATACACTGATAATATCTGACATCATCAGATCAGACATCAGCAGCAAATGGATTATTCAGGATTTAACACAGAATAACAGCTCACTACCAGTTACAAAAGGCACTATACCAGTCTGTCACAGGCAATTCTAGTTGCATTTTTAATCAATTATTTTCTTAAATTGTCCATTGACTATCTTCTGGCCCGCCATCTGGTGTCAAAAATATTTTTTGGCCCGTTGTCAACTTTACTTTCCAACCCCTGCTGTAAACGCTATAGCTTATAATTCAAGTCATTAAATTAATATGAAGGGGCGATTTGCCCAATAATGGCTTAAATTAGGGCTGGACGATTTGGGCTAAAATCATAATCGTGATTAATCAAACAAGTTACCTCGATTACGATTATTGAACGATTATTTTCATTTTTGTCTTTCTCATGTCACTGGCAAGGCTTATACTGTATTTATTTACAATGAAAGAGTGCATAATACTGTCTTTGTGATTCTAAAATAAGGAAATGCACAGATAGCTTTTAATGCTTATTAACTTAACTGTCACCGTCCCACAGGTGGGACGTTTGCCACTATATTTTTAAAACAATAATATCTTAGTAAATACCTTAAATAATATTGACAAACTATATATCATTTGAAAGCTTACAATCTCTAGTTTCCATATTTGGTGACTGATTTTCAAAATATATTACAGAGAAGCCATAATTTATCAATATAAAACAAGAATATTTTCATACTCATAAGGCGTGTTCAGACCTTTATTTTAAAATAGCAGTAAACATGAAAAATCATGAAAAAATGGTAGATACCTCAGTTTGTTTTCATGCCAAAAGTTCAAAAGATAGAATCCATTCAATTATTTTGGAAAAAAAAGGTCTGAAAAGTTTGAAATATCAAGAAAAAAATAATAAATTCAGCATTTGTGATGTGGCAGCTAGCTATGACTTACATGCGTGTTCTTTGTATGTGTTTCTTAGAGGTTCAATTCATTTCAAAATCTGCCAAACTTCCCATACTACTTCTGAATAGGATCTCTACTTCAGAAATTGTATGAAAATTGTGAAAATAATGGTTCATATCACTCAAAACACGAATGGAAATGCAGGCGCCCTTATATGGGCAGTAATGGAGTCTGATTGTGCCCTAGTGAAAAAGTTTGGTACTGCGCTCAAACAAAATCTTACTGAAAGCTCATTTTTTGAGATATCAACCTAAAATTTGAAACACAACTTGTTCAGATTTTTGGCTTTGATATTTCTGCCATTTTAGAGTAGCCCAGGTTTTGAAAATATATATTTTATGTAAAATATGAATAATTAATATTTTTACATTGTACATTTCCATAAACTCAAACTTCTATAACTTTTTTTCTGTTTCACTTTCTTAATTTATTTCACTTCTACAAAAATCTGCCAAATGTCTTCTTTAAAACAAGACCAATCATATGTCTATATTCCAAAGCATTCTTGAATTACAACCATTTAAGTTCGAAATGTGCATTTTCATGTCTATTCAAAAAAGGGGGGGTGACAGTTAACAGGTTAAATATTTAAAAAAAATATTTAAAAATGTAGAAAATTGTAGAAACCTGAAAAATGCTTTGTGGAGTAGAGGCACTTGTTGCTCAGCGTTTTTCAGTCTCTCTCTTTTTTTCCGCGTGTTTCTTTGGTACAAGCAGCGAGGAATCAGAGAGTGTGTTCACACACAACCCGCAAAGACACGTCACATGTCTAAGCAGCGTCTATAGTTTGCTTATGAGCTGCGATTACTTTCTCGAGAAACCACGCTTGAGCATTTTTTCCTCTGATTCGATCATAAACTTGCGCATTTTGTACCGTTTGATGTTGGCGAACGATCCCGGCTTAAATTACAGCACGGCATTGATGGCATTTGTTCACACAGCGCTTGTTCTGGGACCACACACTGTTACTCTGTCCCCAACCTGGCACCAATCCCGGGTCGTGTTTGCGTTCACACTGAAGGTGTTTGTTCTGGCAATTTCCCGGGATTAACGCGCTGTGTGAAAGGGGATCATGTTGCTTCAATGTCGCAGACTGGACGGGGCGGAGGTACGTGACCACTACACACGGTAATTATGTTTTAAGGGGAAAGTACGTTAACATGGAGGAAATATTAATAGGATTCAAAAAACGAAATAACCGACATGGTAAAATCACTTCAGTTATAGGCTCTGAATTTCGGTTTCGATTATATTTCGATTAATCGTCCAGCACTAGCTTAAATGAACAACTAGTCTACTAGTCGACTATAAAAACTTTAGTCGGAGGCAGAGCCTTAATCCACATATTTTCGAGATATAATAGAGATAGTAAAAGGCCATACTGGGGCGAGCGAGCGGGATATTCAGAAATGCGCTCTCCGCTCACATGATCTGAAATAATGAATCATTAGTTTATATCTTATACACTGCCCATCATTTTAATCCCACATCAAACACAGTATGTTATGTCTATTTAAATATATATATTTCACGTTAAGTCCACCAGGGGGTGCTGATGCTGTGACGGGCGGTGCAGTAAAACTAATGTTCAAAACTCACAGACTGAAGCAGTAAACTAAACTAAAGCAAACACTGATCACAACTTTAATATTTACAATAAAACATCCACATCTAAACTGTTGATTCTCCACAAGACCTTCAGCATGAGAGAAATAAAGTCTGTAGTAAGTGGAGACGCTGAGATCTCCAGAGATGTGTTATGCCTGGCTCACACTACAGGAGTTTTAGGCCGATTTTGCCCTCACGAGAATCTGAGAATAAATCTTGTTGATTACCTCGATCGGTTCTGATGTTCGGCGCAGATTATCTGGTAATGTGAGGCGTTCACAGATCGAATATTGGACCTCCCGATCTGCTCTCACACAAATCGGGCTCGCTCCGATCATATCAAATATGTTTGATATTTATCGGGATGAGCAAGATTGTGATTACCGTCAGTACTGTCTAGCCATAAGAAACAGGCTGTCGTGCTGAAGGAATGTCCACTGTTGTAATTTGAGTGACTCAACAGTATTATCTTCATTTATTTATTTATTGCTAAATAAATAAGAGTTGTGCAGTGGTCAGCAGGCACGAAGACGAGTATATGTTCAGTAATAAAAACCGAAACTAAATAGCGCATTGAAGTGGAGTAAACAGAAGATACAATGTCAAAATAAGGGTCCACATAATATAATAACAGAACATAAACCTGACAATATGCTTTTCATGCCATTATAATATAACAGTTAGTTTTGATCCTCAAATCTCACTTTACTAAAGGCTTTCTGCTGATATTTACCACTCGGCATTGCTCGTCTCTGCGTGTTATAAACAGTTTGTCGCTCAGTGCAGTTACATTGTTACACCACTAGGTGGCGACACGGCACTGTCTTTGAATGAGTCATTAAACTGTTCATTCAACGGAAATGTAAAAAATGCAGATTCAGTCAAATATAGATGTAATGAAACAAGCTGTTATTTATTTTAATATTTCATTTTAACTTTAATCTCCACTTTACAAGGCTCAGTAGCATTGCGGCTCATGGGCAACGCGAAACTGATGCTTCACTTCATTGAGATCAATAGCATTTTTTCGTTGTACTGACCAGAGCTGACGCCATTCATTAGAAATAGCCTAACCTTAAATGTTAAAAGGATGATTAAAAAAGTTCTCTTTCCTTGGTCACGGCAACCTTTTCATGAATATGACTTGATATGAGGGACAGTTTTTTTGTTTACATCCACTTTTCTGCTTCCGATCTGCGGCGTGAGATCACGTGAGCCACTTCTTCTGCCACGATAATCTTAACACTAGAAGTGCCAGAATTCCAAAACTACTAGAACGGCCACAAACGGTCATTTTGACCGTTAGATTCAAAACAGTGTTGATGAATAATTTTCGTAATTATTTTTGTCAACCATATTTTTTCAAAGACGAAAACGAGACGATAACTAAATAAAAACTAGGTTTGAATGACAAAAACTATGACGGAAATGTTAGATAGTGACGATTTGCGACGCGGTCAAGGCTATAATAATAGGACTCGCAGAACTGAACAGCCAATGCAGCAAAACAAACAGCGCAGGACAGGGTAGCAGAGCTCACCATCATCCGACATGAATGGAACATCTGGATCGGCCGTGTCTGATGATAGCAGCCCTCTCTTTTTCCTTGATGTGACTCTGAATCACTCTCTGATGAGGAGGAAATGTTAACTTGCACCCAGGAAACGTCGCTGTCACTTTCCACCTCCGATTGTTCCCCTGCATCCGAATTATAGATAACTGTAGTCCGGTTTTATTTGCTTATTTCTGATCAACAACTAATGTAGAAATTATTATATAGCAAACACCGCTACAGAGGTGACCGGACGGACCATTCTGTTGACAGAACACGATCAACCGCGGGATATTTAACAAAAAAATACCGCAAAATTCACTGCGGTCAATATGACCGTCTATGGCCGAAATAGGTAAATATGTTCATTTTTTTTGTTTTGCCTTACGTTTACGTAACTTAATTTATATGAAAAGCATTTTAAATGAAAATACAGACAATTTTAGGAAAAGTCAGGTACCAGCAGGATTTTATTATTTTTTTCAACAAAGTTATTATAGATATAAAATTCAAAACGGTCAAAATGACCGTTGTGGCCGTTCTAGTGTTAATAACATTGTGTAGTGTGTGATGCACCGTGATTTTCAAATCTTGTAGTGTGAGCATGTTTAAGATTTGAGGGAAGAAAATCTGCAAAGATTCTCTTTAAGTGTGAGCTGCAACCAGGCCCGTCGCGACAGGACAGGCAAACCAAGCAATTGCTAGGGGCCCGAGCTGGACGGGGGGCCCAAGACAACGACTGTTTAAGAATAAAATGCAACGACAAACTGTGAGCGCCCCTTTGATATAATGCAGTAAAGTACAATGACACTGTTATCGGGATCCCCCTCTGTAGTCGCTGACAGCAGCCAGCCAACCACGCGATCTCTGCTCCGGGAAAATACAAACCTCCTCGGCAGTCATCATGAAGCAGAATTATGCTTGAGCAAGCCAGAAAAAAGAAAGAAGAGAAAGGAAGAGTGGGATAAGAAAAAGACAAGATAGTGGTAAAGTGATAAATTACACTGCATAAAAATAACTCTACTTGTCTTGTACATATGGTGTAATTTTGAAGCAGGTAACGTTAGGCTATAGAAAAAATATGTTTATGTTTGCTAACGTTACCTGCCTGATGGCAAATGCTGCTTGTAACGAACAGTTAGTGCAATAATTTTTTTCGAACGGATGGAATACGATTAAAATTACATCCTGTATATGTTTTTTAACGGGATAAGGACGACGCAGATCTGTTCCAGAATCACTGTTTATCGTATTTAATGACATGACATTGCTGTAGCTTTGTAATAGGTTTTGATGAAAGTGGCATAGCATGCTACACTAACTATGATCATATATTTACCAATGGAGTTTAGAAAAACCACACAATAAATTCTGTGCATCAAACATTAGCTTGGGATGTTTTTAAGCATTGGTAGTGAAAGCAGCATCCCTTCCCTTCTAATATCAAAATATGGAAATGCTAACATATCTTTAAGTTTCTGGCAACACTTTATAATATAACCATCATTAATAGATGGTAAATTGCTTTTAATCTTTAGTTATTGTAATTTAACTGTTTGCAAAGAGTATTTTTACTTAATAAATAATTTGTAACCTTACCCATCTATAAACATTATTTAACCTGAAAAAGGCAGAGGAACATGATTTTTTCATAGCTTATCTTAATTTCACTGTAAACATTTTTTTTTATGTATGCACAGTATATGCAACAGCAGTATTTGCTCTGTAACCCTTTTTTATTCATATAATTAAAAGGGGGGGGGGGGGGGGGTGGATGGATTTTTGGGGGGCCTCCATGTCCATTTTGCTTGGGGCCCCAAAATTCCTTCAAACGGCCCCAGCTGTGTGTGTGTGTTTATATTACACTGAATGTGTTTGTTAGTAATAATTCAGGAAATTCCTGTAAAATAAATGTTCTCTGTAAAACGTTTAATGAAAACTTGTGCACTTTAGAAAAGTTTTGTGCACTTTATTTCCATTTGGATATTTTACTGTAATTTCACGTTTGTTGTTTATCAGTCATTGACAGTTTTTGTACAATTATTTGTTTACGGTGCATTTATGAATCATGACATCATAGAGACGAGAGGCGTTGGCTCTTTTGGACAGACATCCAGTCTATTAGTTTATTCTAATAGTATATATTCTATAATAATATATACTAATATAAAATATCTATAATATAACTCTACCAGTTTATTAGTTTAACACTGCTAACTGTCTAGTCATCTCCTGGCAACTGTTTAGAGCTCCCTAACAACCGTATAATATGATGAATAAGCCATATTTCAGCACCAGAACATAATGCCGAATAAATAAATCAGAAAACACCAAGAACACCCTAGAAACCACCTAGAACACCCTAGTATCTGCCTAGCAACCACTCAGAACCCTCTAGCAACCACCTAAAATACCCTGGCAAGTGCCCAACAACCACCCATAACACCCTAGCAACCACCTACAACAGCCTAGTAAATGAGAGTAACCTAGTAACCACATAACAACTGTCTAGCAACCACCCCAAACACCAAATCAACCACCTTGAACACCCAAGTAACCACCTAGCAACCACTCA